TACATACGCTAACATTTGTTTCATACCCACAATGTGAATGCATATTGGCGCATGTATGACACAGTAGAACATATGGTTAGTATACATTAAAACATTTCCGATGGGCAAAGGACACCTTCATTTTAGGGGAGTGAGTGGAGGTATGGCCAGGAGCAGGGCTGTTCTGAGAAATTTAAGGTTACTTGCTAATAACTATTAATGGAACATTTATGCACGCCGACGCATTGACTGACAGCTGGGTGAAAAAATATATTTTTCAATAGTTTATTTTCTCCTAATGTGTACATTTGCTAGCAAAAGTGTTAGCACAATGCAAATCTTATGCCCAATCTAATGGGCATAAGTTGTTTGGGGCATGACAGGTGCTCTTTGTTCCCCAACCTATGCTCTGTGTTTTAAGGAAACAAGAGAATGCAGTTTCTCCGGACTCTCCACATCGCCAGGATGAATGTGCTTCTATTGCAGTAGAAGGGTTAATCTACCATTGATTGTTGTTTAAAGGGAGGTTAATCTTTATAGCAGTGGGCCCCATGGTTCCTGTCCCATAAAAATAAAGGACCAAGCATTGCTCAGACCATCACTCCCACATTGAAGATTTGAAGTGATTGTGTTAGTTTCTTCATTATCATCTCAGGCCATAAGAGTTATACTTTTTTTAGCTTTATTTGCCTGGGGAAATGATGAAGATTTAAGAACTGGATAATGTATTACTCTGTTTAATTGTACAGGGTTTGATTACTAGTAACAATTAGGGGCCATAAAAGGAGCCATTTGGGATTAATATTTATTTAGATAGTTACCAGTGTTGGGCAAACTTGTAGCGCGACAGCCTCAGCCAGACAAAGCTGTCTCACTTTGATCCCTACAAACTGACCACTAACCACTTACATATCACAATAGGTGTTCAATAGTGATGTCCCGAACGGTTCGCCGAACGGTTCGCCGAACGGTTCGCCGCGGACTCATCATTGAGTAAACTTTGACCCTGTACGTCACAGTCAGCAGACACATTCCAGCCAATCAGCAGCAGACCCTCCCTCCCAGACCCTCCCACCTCCTGGACAGCATCCATTTTACATTCATTGTGAAGCTGCATTCTTAGTGAGCTGTCCAGGAGGTGGGAGGCTCTGGGAGGGAGGGTCTGCTGCTAATTGGCTGGAATGTGTCTGCTGACTGTGAGGTACAGGGTCAAAGTTTATGTTTATGTTCGCCATCCGTGGCGAACCGTTCGATGAACCGTTCGGCGAACCGTTCGGGACATCACTAGTGTTCAACAAATGATGCCAAGTTCTGGGTTTTAAATCTCAGATACCAATAATATGATAATCCCACTTACTGCAGCAGTGATAGGTATGGGTATAGAGTTACTGATCACAATGTTAGGAATGTATAACCATAAGTACTGACAGGGGCTAAAATATCATATTATTACAAAATCATGTGTATTTGTAGAACACAAAACTATTCTCACAAAAATTTAGATACACAAAATAGAAATCTGTGACAGATTTAGGTATTGTAAAAACCAGGGGCATTGCTAGGGTCAAAAAACAATAATTTGATGTCTGCTTCCTAGAGTCCTGGCCCCTCAGCATGTATATTGGATGGAGTGTGCATTCATGCTTATAAGGAAGTGTATTACAACAATATGCAATTTTTTAAATTGTGAATTTCAATTTTTTTCCAAGCTTTTTATTTCAATTTACTAAGTGAGTTGTGAGGTGGATTGATGGCTACTGCTTGCTGGAGGGTAAATCTGGATGCTGCCCTCGGCCCAGGTGAGTAGCTACGCCAAAGAGTTTCGGATGGACCAGGGCTTGGTAGCTTTGCCCAGAAGGCAGAGGAGAGCGGGCCGCTAGAGCTCACTATTATACCTATTATATGGTTTAAAGTGAATTATTTCTGATACCCTATGAATCTACCAATAACATTTATTTTATTAGAAATACTGCTGCATTCAGCAAGCTGTGTTCAACGTTTGCTACAGTATCTTCTTACTTTGTAGCATAAAACACAGACTGCAACATCGTGTCAAGCTCTGTGATTTCCTGATTTGGTGCCTTTGTAACTGGGACATTCAGCATAAATCATTGTGTTTCTGGTTTACTTCATGTTTATAATTCATTTTTGCACACTATTTATTAATTGTTTTTTTATTTTTTATTATTCATATAGATTGATTTGTTAATTTATCAATGTATTAATTATTTTGTATGATTGTTTGATATCCTATATATGAGCTCCTGGTCTCACACCCAGTTTGTATTCTGGCTCTGGTTTTGTGCCAACTGAGCTTACTTATGTGCCAACTGAGCTTACTTATGTCAAAATCTTGAGCAGATGGCATCACATGCCTGGAGAGGGTGCAGTGGGTTCCACGTTATGAATGTCTCTGGCCAATAGACTGTCGCAATTTTCGGAGTCATCTGTCATGAACAGGGGTCAGTAAGGACTAGAAATAACTGTTTTTGCTTCTTGAGACGATAATGTTGCATTTCAAACCCAGAGGGATGTTGGACGATCTTCTCCTCACCCTCTTTCATGTGAAAACACCATAACCAATTACCTGCAAGTCAAAATGCAACTTCTACTAAAATAGTGTTAGATTCATCACAGGGAAAGTACCCTCTCTATTGCTATGACAGAATAACTGAAGGCCTGTTATTTTTATGTAAAATTATGGTGGAGCGAGACGATGTACAAGTGCAGGCATGCTTTTCTTTTCCTTGCAAGATGAGGACACAAGACACGCTAAACAACTGCCAAATACAGTGCCAGTGGACATTTTCGCTTCTGTATTCTATGTTCTGATACAGCATTTATCCATAGGATGATGGCATAGGACGTTAAACACCTTAGCATGACTCTATTAATTGGCCATCCAGGTTATCCTGCAGGCAGAAACTAAGTGCCACCTGAGAGGCCACTGAATGCTGGAGGTGCTATAGGTCCAGCATCACCGGTCCAAGACCCACAAGAAACAGCCATTCTAAAGTCTTCACTTTGGTTTGCAGTGATTTTCAAGTAAAAAGAATACCATTATTTTCACTAAATCAGATGATGCAGAGAATTGAAAAGGGAATTGCAAGTTTGACCAATTTGGAAAAATTCCTCAAATTTAAAAATTCGCAGACAATTTTCCACAATTTACAGTTTACTGAACAAACCACAGAGTTTTTGAATCCAGCATAACCCCCCCACCCCAAATATTGCTTGCGTGATATTTAAATTTTGTTTAACCAATTTATAATTACACTTAAGCAAGATACTTAACATATTTACGGTCCCAATGGCACGCATCTGCCATGAAAGGATTGATAAACCTAAACTTTGTTGTCACAGGTGTCTTATGAAAAGGCACAAATCAGGCATGTCATGCAAATGTATTATACTTTTGTCCCCCATGATGCTTTTGTACAGTAAGTGAATTTGCATTAGTGTGCATATGTCCACTCTTTGCCTTTACTGCTTTCCTTGATTTCAAAAGTATCTCAGCTTGCGAGCCTGACCCCAATAAATTATGGGGGACTCCATGCCTACAGGCTCTTGAAAAGTGAAACATTTTCACTGACACAATGTTATTATACCCAGTGGGTCATGGGAAATTAAGATTATTTGCATACGTTGTCAAGCCTGTGCCTTCGAAGAAAATCATTGTAGCGCCAAATTATAATGTATTAATCAGTTATATAAAATATCAGTTAAATATATTTTTAAAAATGAATTAACTAAGCAATAATATATTTTATACTTTGGCTTGTGAATATGTAATTACAGCTGTGACAGAACTGATTTAAAGGGACAGCCAGGTCACTCTACTAAATAAGGCCCTGGGCTTAAGAGACTTTGAGTACCAGCATTTCGTTCTTTTCTGACCAAAATCTGTTATTACTTGTTATACAGGAGACTTATACAAATGACCATCTCTGTCTTCAAGCTTTATCCTACCATCTGTCTTGTAAATAATGTGTTGAAAGAAAAATGTAAGCTTTTAAATGCCTCATTCATTTTTGTTAGGCAAGACAAGTCAACTTTCTTATCACAACTACAAAAACATTACCTCTGCTGATAGGATCATGATTGGATATTTGCTTACATAGCGTTTAACCCTTTGCATGTTGCACAGCAAGGTTGTGCATTATTGTGTTAAGTAATCTGACCTGAGCAGCACTCAAATAGTCAACTCCAAAACATTGATTACTTAGTCTATAAATTTGCACCTCATTAATCCATTTGACAACCAAAGCCCACTGATGACTGATCTGTGTGTAAAAAAGTCTAAAGAGGAGCTCATGCTGCTCTGAACAAAACGGGGAGATAATTGCGTCCAAATCATTACAAACTTTACAAAGCACATCCTACAAAAACAAAGCTATTATGCGACTAGCATTAAATATCCATGTGTTATCTTTACTAACTACATGCCATTGTTTAATTGTTCTTGTGCTGGATAGGCTGTAAAAATGGAATAGCCATACCCGTCTTGTAAATTCAGTAAGAACCTAAAATGCATTATGGCTTTAATGCTAAAACCATCCTCTTTATATGAAAATGTGAAATTATACTCTATCCATTGCTCTCTCAAATGGTTACTCCAAGCAGTAATTTGAAGTGGTCATGGTGCCTGGAGTCTGTATGTGAAGAGTTTTGCTATGAAACATACATGAACCAAACTCCACTTCCGGCAGCATCACTGGGGCCTTACTAGCCAGTCCGAGTTCCCGGCTGACTAATGCCAATTCTGTGCAGTGGGCTCTAGTGATTATGATTCTGTTACTAACCCAGCAAGCTACACTGATTTTTTTCAACATTTAAAATGCCTTTAAACATAGTTACTGGAACCAAAATATTACCCAAATGTAGACTTTAACAAGTATACACCGCAGAACATTTGAGATGTAAAATTTTGAGTTTTCAAAAGCTGTGATGTTGCAGTAAAAATTTGTGCCCGTTTAAATGTATCTCTATTATTTATCACATGGGGTATTTTTCGATAAAGAGTTTTGACATTTTATCAAGCGGTTCTGCAACATTTAGTGTCTCTCTATGGAGTGGTGGGAGTCATGCCCATTGATGACAGCATTGTGGCTCCCTAGGTTAAACTTTTGTTCGAAAAATGGTGGCTGGTTATGTTCAAAGATGGTGGGGAGATTGCTGGTCTCTGTCTACTAAACCCCATGTATTGAACCCCTGTCACAATGAGACTTCATGCCCGGCTCCAAACCATAAACAAACCATAAACACAGCATATTCAGCCATCAATAAAATAAAGGGAATGGAAATTGTGTTTTTTGCAAACAAAACAAGGGGTGTGTCACCATTTCTGCCCCTGTAGACTAGCCTCTACTAATCCAGAGAAGGGTTAGTTTGGAGCTTTTCCCTAGCCCTAACTCTGTCAGTATGATATTATGATAAGTAAAGTGATACAGCCATAGCTATATATATATAACCTTACAATAATTTCATTGAATTCTCAAGATGCTATGTTGCTGATATCATTTTCCGAAAACACTCATCTAGTTCAGCAGAGCCTTTCTCAGTTTCCATTGTTGTCAGACTTAGCATTAATCACGCAAAAGTCACTCACCAAATACTTCATTGAGGTACTTTATGTCTTACGTAAAAAAAAGCTCAATGCTTTTTCTTCATTCAGATTCCTGAACAGGAAGCTGATGTACAATGTAGCAGGAAGTCGCTTGATGTCTATTGGAAAGAGCTGAAGGCCGTTTCGGTTATCTAAAATTTAAACAATATCCAAAAATTTGAACTGGGCTTGAAAATTGCAAAATGTGAATTGTCCCTTGTCACAAAATTTCCTATTGATGCGACAGCTGAAATCCTCTGACACGTTTAAATTCTGCGGAAGCCACTTAATTCCTCAAAGAATTAACCCAGTAAGATGGTTGTTAATGGTTTACTCTACCACATACATAGTTTAACTTCAATAAAATGTATTGTAAAAGTGTAGATCAATATAAACAGGGGCAAAAATAGGTATATATTTTAATGGAGATGAGAACATTTCAATCATAGTATTATTATTTATAAAGCCAAACATTTTCCTGCTATTAACGGGTATCCCCACTACAAATGCATATTTTTACTCATAAGGATTCCACAACCTTGCCTGTATAATCACATACAATTTCTTTAACACCTGGCTTCAAATCTGGTTTAATATAAAGACATATCCCACCCACTCTTCTATTTTTTCTATCCTTTCTAAATAATGCAGATCCATTTAAATTAGTAGCTCACCAAGTCTCAATAATCCCAATTATGTCATGCTGCTCCTTTTGTGCCCTTATCTCAAGCTCCCCCATTTACCTACACGAGCTTCTTGCATTAGCATGCAGTCATTTAAAGTTACCTTTTGTGTCATGAACTTTATTTGAACAACATATAATTATTACCTTCTTGCTCTGTCTGCTGATCTTACCACTCCCCCATCTCCACCCACCTTGACTGAAGCTGAATTTCCTCTCTTTTCTATGCTATTAACCACATTTACCCTTCTTTGACCCTCCCCCATAATCCTAGTTTTAAAGCCTCCTCCAGCTTTGTAGCCATCCCCAAACCAAGCACAAAAGACCCAGTTGCAACAAGACAGTTGGATGTGTAGGAACAGAAGGTGCTGAGGGACCTGCTCAAACGGAGTTACATTATAAGTAGTGTGTATCAATCACTTTTGTCTCTGTGGGGATCCAAAATGCTTAGTTCATACTTTAAAGAAGTATTGCGTTTATTTAAAGTCAGGTCTTTCCCCATAGTGCCCTAAAAAAGCTGTTACTTGTCTCTAATCTAGCGGCAACACAATCTCCTTACCACTAGTGATGATCTCCCTGTTGATCCACTTCTTCTCATAGGGACTGATTGGGATCTTATTGTGCATGTGCAGTCATCCCTTGAATTTTTTTTATTGAATGTAGTGTTTCTCTATGAGAAGCCCTCACATCTACTTTGACCAAGAGCCCAAAGTGAGTTAGAACACCCTTTTGGCTGTCTGACAGCTGGGAGAATGCAACTTAGGAGAGTTTTAAAATTGTATATTATAATTGTTAAAATTGACACTTTTATAAAATAAGATAGTGAGCACCATTTCAGAAAGCTTTGGTTGTGTTCTGGAGGAATAAATCAGGATAGGTTAGGTTAGCTGCTACACTGACCTTACTAGAAATAGACCCTACTACCCTTAATACTGAGTAGTTACTCCAGTCGGTGTCTCAACTGCAATGAAACAAAATGTGCGCTCAATTTAACTTTTGGCCAAACATTTACCTGTTCTGAAATCGTGGCTCCAAAAATGATCTTGTACTGAACTCAAAGTGATGAAATGTCTGCATTATTAAACTAAGCTATATCAGCTACCTAAATAATTATTTTCTGAAAAAATGGTAACTTATGATAAACTTCTAACGATGGAAGGATGCTTGGGACTGGCACGAATGGCATTAGCTATGACAGATGATGCGCACTCTCTAATATACTGCTTTTGATCATGATCGGATAACATTGTTCTGATTTTCGGAACTCCCGTACCAGGGAGACGAGGGGTATAATGTCATGTCACCACATAGGGTATGGTATCTATTTACAATGTTTTCTATGATACCAAATTCACCTAGAATGTTGTACAGCATGTTTTATGTAACTCTATATAATTCTACGTGATTTTATCTAAGACAAGATTTACGAACACCTCCATAGGCACTCATTGCATTAGAGGTATATGTGTATTGAAAATACATTTGTTTGCCTGCTAGAAAAACATTCTGCGTGTTATTGATGATGCATTAATTTGTTTCTTCTGATTTGTAACTTTCCCACCCCAACGTGGCCCACTAAGCTCTTGATGACGTATGGACCTGCTTTTCCAATATGTATTATAAATGTGATTTGTACCTTTTGCGCTATCCTCAATAAAAACTTTGATTTTCAAAAAAACCTTCTGATAAACTCCTTTTTAGGTATCAATTAATTTCCTACTGGCTGGGGTCAGTGGGCAGATAAATACTGTTATCTACTAGACTCAGTCTTAACCCTATTTGGGGGATGCAGTGTTTAATGGAAACATAATAAATGCATGTATCTTTAGTTATATACCTCTGCAATTCTTTCTGAATTATTCTGTAAACCAGAAAAAAATGCAGAAAATGCTATATTACTAACTGTTTTCTTTTCAGAGTATTTCTGATTGGAAAAAAGTTGTGTCAGTCGGTAGCTCATTAATTCCCATTAACATTCTTCTGCTAAAAGGATATCTTTCAAATCTGTCCTGTAATTGCTTTGCAAAGAGTGGAATCTTAAATCCAGAATTCTTCCATTTTCTCCACAGGGACATTTCTGGAGTGAAATAAACAAAGTCAACTTAACAATTAATATCATTCCAATTGACAATGGATGGCATTTCAAATTATAGCAAGTTTTCAGTAGACAAAATATATATTTGTTAATGATAATTAATAATAATAATAATGCAAACACTTAAATCTGATTTCTTTCTGTTACAAAATAATAGTTATAATAATGATAATATTAAAGTATTTCAAGGTCACCTTTCAGACCTCAAACAATGTATGCTCATTAGATGGAGCATGAGATTCTACCTATACATTGTGCTAGCAGTTTTGGTATCAAATGTATAGATTAAGAGAAAGTCTATTTAACAATAGTTTTTTTTCTCCCAGTGGTGCCAAGGCATTGACTGACAATGGAGAGTAGGAAAGACCTCCCAAAGGAGGTCCCTCTGCTCTCCACCCATAGCAACCACAGCGCATGCATGGTGGTTGCTATGGAAGTTCCTTAGCAAGCACTTCTAACTCTGGCTAGGGATTAGAGTAAGGGAGTGATGCCACTCTATTCTAATGGTGGCAATCTGGCAACAAAGTCAGCGTGCCAACATCACTGGCGAGATTTGTCCTTCTTGGGGATGCGTCCCAACAGGGCAAATCAAAGAAAACTTCATGAGGAGCTGAGGCAGAGCAGAGGATTGTCAGGAGATGGGTGTTACACAAAGAGTAACAACCACAAAGCTCTGCTGAAATGGAGGAAAAGTGATTAAATCTTGAATGTATCTTTATGATATATGATATATTCATTGTATATGGGAATAATTTTAGGTAACTTATTTTTTTCATAACAGGTTCACTTTAAAGGAACAGTCCAAAAACCACAAGGTACATTTCCCTTGTTGCTAGTTTCCAAGAACATCGTAGGGTGTAGACGTTCTTATTACTCCATTTAATGGCATTCATTTTATTGACTTTGGAAGGCTGAGCCAGCCTTGTCGGGAATCGAACCTGTGACTTTGAGATACATCAGCTGGCAATACATTCATCGTAATAAAAAATAAATAAATCACGTTTTCCAGTTCTATATTTTGTGCTGAGAATGTGAGATCTGTTAAAAACATATTTCTGCACTCCAAGCATCATAACTAATTAGGCTACCGTGTTTCTCCGAAAATAAGACCGGGTCTTATATTAATTTTAGTCACAAAAAACACACTATGGCTTATTTTCAGGGTAGGGCTTATTTATTTACGGTACCGGTATGTACATTGAACCCCCCCTTTAATTAATCCACCCCCCCTTTAATAAATCCACCCCCCTCTAATTAATGCACCCCCTCTAATTAATCCAGCCCACCCTTTAATTAATTCACCCCCTCTAATTAATCCAGTCCACCCTTTTAATTAAAGGGGGGTGAATTAATTAAAGGGTGCGCTGGATTAATTAGAGGGGGTGAATTAATTAAAGGGGTGGTGAATTAATTAAAGGGTGGACTGGATTAATTAGAGGGGGGTGAATTAATTAAAGGGGTGGTGAATTAATTAAAGGGTGGGCTGGATTAATTAGAGGGGGGTGAATTAATTAAAGGGGGGTGAATTAATTATTCACCCCCCTCTAATTAATCCAGCCCACCCTTTAATTAATTCACCACCCCTTTAATTAATTCACCCCCCTATAATTAATTCAGTCCACCCTTTAATTAATTCACCACCCCTTTAATTAATTCACCCCCTCTAATTAATCCAGCCCACCCTTTAATTAATTCACCCCTTTAATTAATTCACCCTCCTCTAATTAATCCAGCCCACCCTTTAATTAATTCACCACCCCTTTAATTAATTCACCCCCCTTTAATTAATTCACCCCCTCTAATTAATCCAGCCCACCCTTTAATTAATTCACCACCCCTTTAATTAATTCACCCCCTCTAATTAATCCAGCCCACCCTTTAATTAATTCACCACCCCTTTAATTAATTCACCCCCTCTAATTAATCCAGTCCACCCTTTAATTAATTCACCACCCCTTTAATTAATTCACCCCCTCTAAT